CACAGAGGGAGAGCAGAGTGCACAAGGTGCGTGAAAGGGGAAGTAGTGAAATAAATGAAGAAAGGAACGAAACACGAGACAGAAGAGAGAAAACAACCCAGAGGAGAAAAAGGAAAGATGAAAGGGGAAGGGAGAAAAGAATAAGAAAAAGAAAAAATGTTCGCATCAAAGAACTTTCAACAAGAAACTAAGGACTCTCCTCTGACCTCTTTTTTAACTGCACTTTCATTCTATACCCCAAACCGGGCGGGCCCTTTTCAAAAGCGTCCCTTGGGTGGTCCCCGTTGTGCCTGCAGTACTTTTTAAAAAAGCGCTGCATGGGGCAGGTCCGGTAAAAATTAAACCCAGAGAGACTTCTTGATTTTAAGCAGAACGTGCATCGCTCGCCGTGTCCCCCGTGACCTAAACGCACTTGCTGGCGAGATTATGTCTCCACCATCACCTCTCTTCCTCTATGAGTGCAGTCTGGAAAAAAGTACGAAAACTGAGTGGTAAATTTTCTCCTAAACCCGGCTCCTGTTCTGCGGGTTGCCGGTGTTGATATAGCAAACCCACTAGATGTTGCCAATGAAATTGGCAATCATCTGGTCCGTTTTTCTCAGGGACTCCATCTATGCCCCTCATTTTCTTTCCTTAAGTCTGCCGAGAGTTAGAAACCTTGGACTTTTTTTCCCCTCAGAGAAGAACAGTATAATGTGCCTTTTACACTTCAAGAACTGGAGGCAACACTCTCAGCTTGCCGATCATCAGCAGCTGGGGCCCGACGACTTTCATATTCGTTTTGCTACAAACATTTACATCTTTTCAGCCCTTGCAGTCCTATTACGCCTTTACAATCTTATTTGGTCACAATGAGTTCTTCCACAGCTGTGGAAATCCGCCATTGTTCTCCCTTTCCGCAAACCAGGCACTATGGGACATGAAACCTCCCACTATCGTCCCATTGCTCTTACCAGTGCAGTTTGCAAAGTGATGGAACGCCTAGTAAATAGACGTTTAGTGTGGTATTTAGAGACACACAACAGTCTCTCCACTCGTCAATATGGCTTTCGTAAGGGACGTTCTACCATAGACCCCTTACTACGCTTGGATACGTATGTTCGTAATGCCTTTGCGAATAACCACTCAGTTATTGCCATATTTTTTGACCTTGAGAAGGCATATGACACAACTTGGAGGTATAATATTTTAGCCCAAGCCCACTCCATAGGCCTTCGAGGCAATCTACCATCCTTCCTTAAGAAGTTTTTAACTGACAGGCATTTCCATGTTCGTGTTAATAATGTGCTCTCCCCAGACTTTATCCAAGCTGAAGGTGTCCCCCAGGGATGTGTTCTGAGCACAACACTTTTTCTCCTTGCTATTAATGATTTGGCCTCTAGTCTTCCATCAAATATTTGGTCATCACTCTATGTTGATGACTTCGCTATTGCCTGTGCAGGCGCTGACTGTCACCTTATTACAGTTTCTCTCCAGCATGCAGTCGACCGTGTTTCCAATTGGGCCACCACACGTGGGTTTAAATTTTCCAGCACTAAAACCCACCAAATTACTTTCACTAGACGCTCTGTCATCTCCGATCATCCTTTGTACCTCTATGGCTCCCGTATCCCTGAACTTGATACAGTCAAGTTTCTGGGCCTCCTCTTTGATCGTAGGTTATCCTGGAAACCTCACATTACCTCTCTGAAGGCAACTTGTCACAGCCGGCTGAACCTTCTTAAAACCCTTGCTCATCTTTCATGGGGAGCTGATCGTCGAACCCTCCTTCGCCTACATTCCACCCTTATTTTATCGAAACTTGATTATGGTGACCAGATCTATTCAGCGGCATCTCCTGCTACTCTCTGTAGCCTTAACCCCATTCATCACCAAGGATTACGTTTATGCCTTGGTGCTTTTCGCTCTTCCCCTGTCAAGAGCCTCTATGCAGAAGCGAACGTTCCATCCTTATCCGATCGCCGTGATGCCCATTGCCTTTGCTACTATGTACACTCTCATGATCTCCGCAATCCTTCCATTTATAGAATGGTCACTGATATTAGTAGACATTCTTTATTTGTTCGCCGCCCCTGTTTACTCCGTCCCTTCTCTCTTCGCCTTCATTCGCTCGTCTTCTCTTCAATTACCACCTTTCTATGTACATGTAGCATCTCACTTTTCCCTACCCCACTGGGAAGTTCCAGCTGTTCGAGTCTGTTCTTTCTCTCTCCCTTGCTCGAAAGCCAACTGTCTACGGTCGCTTCCCGCTCTCTTTTTCTGACCACTTTCACTCTCATTCTCATGCCATTGCTGTGTACACAGATGGCTCTAAGTCTCTGACGGCGTAGATTCGCCAGCAGTTGTTTTCCGGACCACGCAGCGTCGTACAAGGCATTTACTATCTTCGGCTAGTATTTTTACTGCTGAATTGTATGCCATCCTTACACACTTATCCGTATTGCAGCTATGCCTGTGTCATCATTTGTGGTTTTTCTCAGACTCCCTTAGTGCTTACAGGCTGTACAGAAATTTGATACACCTCACCCCCTTTTTCCTCCATACCCAACTTTAGCTAGCCGCATCTTTACCAAGCATAAAGATTTTGTTTTTGTTGGGTCCCTGGTCATGTTACGTACAGGGCAATAAAAGGCAGACACGCTTGTGGTCACAGTACATACCACCATTTTTCATGTAAGGTATTCCTTTAGGGGACTATTTTGCACAATATCTTCCCAACTTCACCCCTTGGCAACAAGAGGTCTACTATGCTGGGCAACAAACTTCATCTTTTAAAACCGAGTGTGGGTTTTAAATGGCCGTCTTTTTTATCACCAGTGTCGAGGTTGGGAGACTACTCTCTCCCATCTTCGCTTTGGGGCCATACTCGTCTTACCAGGGAATTCATGGAGAGGGCGCCCTGCTCCTTCTGTGGAATTGCCAGTTTTTCCATTACAGTCAGCCATTCGTTGGACTGCCCTTTTATCAACGAGCACGCAAATTTCCCTCCTCGTCGTTTTCCCCGCTGCTCTCTCTCTACCTTCCTTCTCACTTTTGGGAAAACCCACCTTTCATCCAGACCCCTTCATTATTTTTGACAAAAAACTGACTTATTTAAAAAAATTCGATACCTTGCCCTTCTATTTCAATCTCTTGCCCCCTCTACCCCCGTACTACCCCCTGCCCCGCTGTTTTCTGAAACCCTCTATCATCCCTCCTCCCTTCTCCCACCCAAATCCCCTTTCATTCCTTCCCTCCCCTGTAGCGCTGTATAGCCCTTTGGGGCTTAGCGCACTTTTTGATTATAATAAAAACGACACACCTTTCCAAGTCATCCTATTTTTGCTCCACCCTTTTTCTGAATGACCAAACTCCCTCAACAACCCCTCCTCAGCGCGAATAATTTTTCACACAAATTTTTCACATATGATTCTCTGCATAATTTTTTAAAACCACACATTGCCCTTAAACAGATTCTCTGCCTCCACCTCCTTCTTGCTGCATATTTACCCCCCCATGCTTTACACCCCAAAAAAAGAGTGTTGATACCACATACTCACATTCCCTTCTTTGCCTTCATAGAAACTTTTTTGTCCCCACTGATACATCTTGCCCACCCAACCTTTTTTTTTTCATCAAGTCTCGGGGTTTACCTCACCTCCAAAAACCCATTCACTGACAAGCAAACTCCCAAAATATATGAACACATTCACTTTTTTCCATACTCCCTCCAATGTGTTCTAATTTTTCTTTCCCTAACTCATGGATACTGTCATCATGTTACTCCTATCTATTACTTTCATCTTTTTTTTACACACCCTCTTTAACAGATATTTGATTACTTTTTTGGATTACACTTTTTTGAGGTCACACTTGGGATAACAATTATAAAGCTAAATTGTTAGCACATTGGGTGAATGCATGTAGAGAATTGATGAAGGGGAAATGGGGCTTTTCATTGGAAAAAAAAAATCTAAATTTAAATTGCAAAATATTGAAATACAAGTTAAGTTCCTGACTTAAGGTTTTTTTTAATGCACGAAATACCTATTAGCTTTGATTTGAGAGTGTATTGTAAAGGGGCTTGTGGTTAGTACCTACTGGGAATGAAAACTTCACTTGCCATTTCAACTTGTTATGGATACAGCCTGAATTCTTAGAGTGGTGGTTAATGAAATGTAGTTCAACCCCCTTCGAATAAACATTCTGTAAAGTAATCTGGCAGAGCACTTTTTAAGGGAACCAAAGTGCAGAAGTTTTAACTCTCCCCGGGACTATGGAGGGGCTTCACCTGAATCCATGTTATTTAGCTAAACCCTAACAAACCCCCCTAATGAAAAAGTCAGTGTCCCAAAGCAAAGAAAGCAAAATCACTGCCCCCAAACATGGAGGAGCAAGGTTTTGTCCATATAAAAGATTAAATGTTCTCTTGTCATTGATAGGTCTTTAGTCAATGGGGTGAATAACCGAATAGAGCCAGAGGCTGTGCTGCGAGTTCCCAAGGTGATTTAAAATCTTCGCAGTCTTTTTCTAGATTGGTTTAGATACAGTACTGTATTTTACATGCATTTTGCATATCAAACATCATTCATATATACACCTTATCTGTTGACTCTATTGTTTTAAATCTTTTTTTTAATTGCTCTACTATTTTTTGGGGGTTTTTTTTTTTTAAATTAACTTTTTGTTTTTTTTAAAATTTCAGTGAATTTTCATTGTATGCCGCTTTGTACTTCCCCCCCAAAAATTAATTCCCATGATTATCAAAATTTTTCAAAAGTAATGATGTCAAAATATCCCCAAATTGTGATGTTTTTTTGTTTTTATTTTGTTTTTTTTTAAAAAGACTTTATTTGCAGTCTCAACTCTGTCCCCTGTTGTTGTTGAGGAAAGAAAAGGGAGGTGAACTTTGAACGGACAAGGTGGTCTTGGTCTTTCTAAGCAGGAGGGGGGGATCAAACCTTTAAAAAGGAGACATGGGGGCTTTTTCATTCTGTTTTACTGAGGTGGACCTCCCCTTTTCTCGCTGGATTAAGAGTGGGTTCATCTAAGCTTTCAACATGGGGCGTCCTGTGAAAAATCTAAATTTAGATTCTTATTACAGTTTTCATAAATTACATTAAAAATTTATGAAAAGTTGGGTAGTTAATATTTCATTTAATTTTAATTTTGTTGTTCTCAAATTAAAAAACATTATTTTTTTCAAGGAAATAAAGGATAATTTGCATTAATGATTTATAAAGAGAAATTTATTTTTAACTTGATGGTATCTCCTGGGAAGGGAAGTAACACAGGAAGAAATGCATTTTCCCATCACTCGTTTAATTACACTTTCCAGAAGTGGCTGACACCACATCAGATTACCCTCGACTGAATATTTCCCCCCCATCCCTTTAAAAGTACAGGCACTGCCTTTCCACCCCAGGAATTGAGTCCCCTAACCAGTTTCCCTGAATCCCCCTTTATTAAAAATTAACATCTTCAACACACAACTATTTTGTCCATTTATTCCAGTACAACCATTAAAAAACAAATTGGTTCCTTTCACTCATACTAACACGCTTGTACAAGCCGCAAAAAACCCCGCCCCCTTGTACCCCCCCCCCCTTTTCCCGTCTTTCTGGGACAACCACTACCTTCTTACCTCTACCCATATTTATACTCCTTTTTTTCTCCCTCAAAATGCCTTTTAATGTTCCACCTCAATTTTCTGCATTAGTAAAATTTTCTCTCTTCCTCACCCTCCTCTCTCTTCTCTCTTCTCTCTTTTTTTTTTTTTTCACAGGGTTTTTACAAGGTTTGGTTGGGATCCCTCTTTTTTTGACAAACATTTACAGGTTAAGGATTCCTAACTTATTGACAAGCAAGATGTTTACCTATACAGCTCATTTGAAAACATTTTTTTTGTTTCGAAAAATGCAATAGGGAAAAGGCGAAATTGGACCATCTGTGGCCAGTTTTTTACAATCAACTTACTTTTTCCCCTTGACATCATAAGCTGTATGATGTGTTCCATACTCAAAACATCCTGGGGATAAATTAAACTCAGATGAAGTGGTTCTGGGGAAGGGACAGCCAGAGTGAAATTGTGTTTTTGCCCCTCTTTTTGGGATAGAAGCTTTCTTTACCTGTCCTTGAAGTGGGTCCAAATGTGGAAATTTGACAGTATTGGGCCCTTTTACATAACAGTAAGGGCCCCCCCAAATCCCCCCTTGTTGAAGGGCCCGCTGAAAAGCAGATGTATCCAGGGTTGGGGCAGGGGAGAGATGAGACTCTTGCTCTGTTCTTATCGTCAACAGTTTTCAGAGAGGGGGGGCAGGCAGACCCAAGAAAGTGGAGATACTCAAGGTGTGACGACTGTGCCCGTACGAATCTTGCAACCCCTACTGCAAACAGAGGGGATACGGCGAAGTGCTGTAAGCTTCCCCGGCTGCCTTTTTGCAAAAATTTACAACAGGTTCTTCTGGGTTTGTTTGGATCAAATTTTACCCCCCAAGGGTATAAATTCTCCGGTGCCAACACCCTCCCATTCATCCTTTCTGCTGCACCACATTACCACATGGGGCCTAGAGATGATCATCATTTGCATTTCTCAGGTGCCAAAGTTTCTTGCCATCTATTTCCCAAGCTGATATAGCTCTCGCTGGTGATTGATGTAGTTAGGCGGCTGGGGCCTTTTTTCTCTTTGGGTAAGTGAATGTCATGTACAGTCGTCTGCAAAACATGTGATTCTGGGGGTGAGATGAAGAAGGGGGTTAATAACATTCCGTAACAATGGTCCCAGTACCTTCCCTTTAGGAACGCTTTTCCCAATAGGATGTTTGCGATTCCATTCCATTTAGAACTACACTAGAACACATGAGGGAACACTGGGGGGATGTAACCTAGAGCCGAATTCCCCTCTGAAGTTTTTTTCAAGAGGGCCCCCGGTTACACCCCCGGTCGAAAGCGCCAGCAAGTCCATGCTACCACAAGCTGACTTTTGGGTTCTCCAGTGACTGGTGCCACTTAGTGGAGAGGTTTAAAAAAAAGTCAGCAGCGAGTAACCTTTCCTGAAGCCCAAATTTACGAACAAAGTATGATGTAGTCAAAAAACTCTGTCATTTTGTCTTGAATTATTGTCTCAAGGATTTACCATGATTGACGGATGACACGTGTGTAGTTGTGATTTCTGCTCTGCTCTTTTTGGGGGAACAGGGAAAATACATTTTTTCTCTTTCCAAGAGAGGGCCATTTACACTGTCAGGCAGTGCTGAAAGATGCAAATTGAGGTGCGCTACTGGGCTCACATCTCAGCAAATTTTGGCTCAACTTGTCTGGGCCCAACCTTTTCTTGGTCAAGCAATTTTAAAAAGGAAAGCACCTCCTCCTGCCTTATTGTCACCACTGACAGTTTTGCACAGTTCTTGCAGCTAGCCAAGGAGGGTCCTTTGCTGGATCAGGAACTTGCATTTTGGTAGCAAAGTGTTCAGCAAAGAGGTCCGCCTTCTCTTGACTACTAGTAGAGGTGGTCCCATCCTGTTGATTTAGAGGTGGAATGAGTTCATCAGGCAGATAACCTTGTCTGTCCTTGACCACCAGGTTTTGGAGCCTACCCTACCTGATGCTAGCTTTCTTTTAGTGTACACCTCCCATTTAGCAATGGCTCACTTTTGAACGTCACCCATATGCCTACGGGCTTGCCTGTGCAAGTTCCTGTTATAGGTGGTTGGATGTCTCTTATACCTTCGCCATGCTTTGTACTTAGCAGTAGCAGCCTCTCTACAACGAAAGCCAAACCAAGGCTGATCTGTAGACTTTGTCACATATTGCTGGTGAGGAATGTGTTCTTGTTGTAGATTAAGGATGTGTCCAGTGAAGGCTTTCACTTGGTTGTCAACATCCCCTTGGAGAAGAGCATTCCAATCGGTGGTGGCGAGCTCAGAGCAAAGGGCTGGCCAATTACGTCTTTCCCATAACCAGGTTGTGCGTGTGGACTCCTCACCTCGTTCTGTTGGGATCTTAAGTGTCGTAAAAACAGCCTTGTGGTCAGACAATCCAACGTAGCCGAGGGGTTGACAAGTGACTATACCTTCTGCCAGATCACTCACTACTGGGTCAAGGGAGGAGCCAGAGGTGTGAGTAGGGAAATCAACAAAGTTTCTCATGTCAAATACTGCAAGAAGGTCATCAAAGTCCCTCTGTATAAGGTGTTGGTTGAGGTCACCAACAATTATGATATGTTGACAGTTGTGTTGTAGCAGAAGGGAGTCAATATTTTTCATTAGGAAGTTGATGGGGTCTGCATGATGCCACTGAAGTCTGTACATTGCACATGCTAGTACAGAGGTACTAGTGTTTATGCATAGCTTGAAGAACATCTTTTCAAGATGCGTAGGGGTGGCAACATCAATGTGCTGGGCATGAACACTTTTAGAGAAGCACACAGCAACACCTCCTCCTTGGCCTTGCCTGTCTCTTCTCATCCATGAGGTGTAGCCAGCAATTCTTGCAAAATTTTCTGGAGTCCTGTCATCCAAAAATGTTTCAACAACAGCTATCATGTCGAGTGTTCACAAAACTATGTGTGAGCTCTCCAACATTAGTAATGATACCTTTAATGTTGGCCGACAGGATGCTGATAGACTGGCTCCTCATGATGTGGTCATATATATATACGTATATATATATTTGTCCTAGGTAGTAACTTGGTAGACAGCAACCGCCCAGGGAGGTACTACCATCCTTCTAAGTGAGTGTAAAACGAAAGCCTGTAATTGTTTTACATGATGGTAGGATTGCTGGTGTCCTTTTTTTCTGTCTCATGAACATGCAAAATTTCAGGTACGTCTTGCTACTTCTACTTACACTCAGGTCACACTACACATACATGTACAAGCGTATATATACATACCCCTCTGGGTTTTCTTCTATTTTCTTTCTAGTTCTTGTTCTTGTTTATTTCCTCTTATCTCCATGGGGAAGTGTGGGAGGGGTTGGATTTGAGTGGGACTTTCACATCAGAGCTTATTTCTTGGGTGGCATTGAAAATTGGGTTGGGCAAATGTTTTGTTAGTGGGATGAATTGTAAAGGACCTGCCTGGTGTGGGCCAACGGGCCTCCTGCAGTGTTCCTCCTTTCTTATGTTCTTATGTTCTAAGTGGAACAGAATTCTTCCTCCCTAGGCCATGCGTGTTGTAAGAGGCGACTAAAATGCCGGGAGCAAGGGGCTTGTAACCCCTTCTCCTGTATATATTACTAAATTTGAAAGGAGAAACTTTAGTTTTTTCTTTTGGGCCACCCCGCCTCGGTGGGATACGGCCGGTGTGTTGAAAGAAGAAAGAAAGATATATACAGTGGACCCTCGACTAACGCTATTAATCCGTTCCTGAGAGCTCATCGTTAGTCAGAATAATCGTTGGTCAAGTTAATTTTCCCCATAAGAAATAATGGAAATCAAATTAATCCGTGCAAGACACCCAAAAGTATTGAAAAAAAAATTTTTAACACATGAAATATTAATTTTAATACACACAAACTGAAGAAGACATGCACAGTTACATGACACTTACCTTTATTGAAGGTCTGGTGATGATTGATGGGATGGGAAGAGGGGAGTGTTGATGGTCTTAGTGTTTAGAAGGGGAATCCCCTTCCATTAGGACTTGAGGTGGCAAGTCCTTTTTCCGGGTTACTTCCCTTCTTCTTTTAATGCCACTAGGACCAGCTTGAGAGTCACTGGACCTCTGTCGCACAACATACCTGCCCATAGAGGCCTGTACCTCCCGTTCCTTTATGACATTCCTAAAGTGTTTCACAACATTGTCAGTGTCACCATTAAACACTTGTTCAGGTTTCAGTCCTTCACTGTCTATGTACTCCTTGAATTCCTGCACATATTTTTCAGCTGCTTTTTGTTCCAAACTGGCAGCCTCACCATGCCTTATCACACTATGTATGGCACTACGATTCTTAAATCTCTCAAACCAACTTTTGCTATCCTTAAATTCACTCACATCACCACTAGTTGCTGGAATTTTTCTAATTAAATCGTCATG